AGAAGTCAGTTTAGGACAATGGCAACTGACGATGTAGTCAAACTGATCAAAGAACTAAACCAGATAGCACACAATGCTTTGACTAGTAATCGCCAAAACTCAAAAGTAAAGGCAAACGCCTTACACATGGCTCATGAACTGACACAACACCTTATTGACCGTGCAGTGTTTATCACAGGTAGCTACGTGTCTGATGATCTTGATGGAGAAGAGCTCATCACCTACCTCACAAATACGCTGGAAGGACAAGATGATGGCTACTTTGCCCATGTAGCATCCCAGGACCCCCAAAGTTTTCAGTCAGGGGAGGAATCGAACTAGGTTCCCCGTTTGAAATCTCATCCGCACTCTATAACACTTTATCAAGCTTCGTAACAGCTGGACTCAAGTGGTTAAATAATCATTTTCCGCAGAACCTCCTAATTCTCGATTCAGGTTCTACCGGATGGTTCAAGAAGACCACCAGTGGACTTATTCCCTCCACGATTGAAAAGATCGATATCCCTATCACTATGGGGTCTATTGTCGCAAAGGGCACCATGACTGGACTTGGCCCTGCATGCATTAAGGATGAATCAAATACCTCCACAGGTATTCTTCACTTAATCAGATGGATAGTCGTACCATCGTTTTTCAACCACATCGAACTTGCCTCCCAGGACACTTTTGAGCGAAATGGCTGGACTGTTAGTTCATCCAAAGACTCTAAATTCATGTACAGAGCAAATTCTGCCACAGCGCGCCTGTCTTCCAAGGAACTAACCGACCCTAGCAAGCTATCTAAAGTTACTAATTGGATTAAAATTCAGAGGCAAACTAATGGGTTGAGAACCATCAAGTGTGTAGATCCTTCACAATTCACTAGATTCGTGGACTCTGCTACAGGGGGAGAAATCCCCAAAGAAGCCATTTACGACCCGGATAAGCTGCTAAAATACTGCACCCCTCTATCCAAGAAACAACGCCGTAGCATCAACAACTACTGCGGGACCTTCCTATCAATGCACTCCACATCATTACTAAACCCGCAGGAGTTTAACCTCTGCGGCGATGGTCCCAGCGACCCCAACTTAGTACGTGTCTGTCTTGTCGGCCCTGGACTATGCACAGAATCAACAAGCGCGTTTGCAGATATCCCCATTACAGTGGTAGCTTTCATTGAATATGGAAGCAATTTTGACTACGCCAAACAGTGTTTCCCCAATGCGCAGGGTTTTTACGATATTCGTGTCGTGAACAAAGACCTTGAAAACAAGACACTTGTTTTCCCAGCTTATGATCTATTAGTCTATACTGCCCCATGCTACAGAAATACGTCACTGAGACTGGAAAATGACTTACCTGTCCCTACAAGTGCCGCTGTCTTCGTTGAGGAGCAACGCAAGTTTGTCAAGCTAACTAGCCCGAACCATGTTCTAAATGAACATGTTCCTACACGTCCCGAGTGTCATGACGAACACGACAGTCTAATGGAATTCTTCTCTAGCGCAGGATACAACACAGCAACCAACATGTTGGATGCATGCAATGTCGGCGACCGGACCTCCAG